CAGTCACTACCCATACATTAATGTACTTGGCTACAGTTACCTTGGTTACCAGAGTTACCCAGTCACCACCTATACATTATTGTACCTAGCTATATCCCCTCAGTTAACCCTAGTTGCATGCCATCACACACAGCCAAATTGAAAATGACATGGATAGAATTCTGCACTAACACTTGGAGATATAGCATAACCAGAATGACAAAATAAGTAATACAATCTTTAGCATTTAAGCTAATAGTTCAGTTACCAAGTTACTGCAGTTACTGGTAACAGTAGGGTTTTAAAACACATATGAAGTCCCCATATAAATAGCTCTAGTTTTACTTTTCCCCTGACTGGCCATTTCAATGTTTCATCATGGTCACCTCTCATCAAATGGATATGAATGCTGAGATGTGTTCCACTTCCTTCTGACTCTCCATTTGCTCTCACTCCGCTTAGACACAACTTGTATCCTTCTTGGTGAGAGTAGAAGCTTGGGCTGTACCAATGGTCATTGCTTTTATGATGAGAAGCAAAAGATGTCATCAATACTTCTACTGGTAGAGTGTGTGATTCTCTCCAGTCATCATGCAGTGTTGGAACTCGAGTCAATTTTAATTTTGTCACTAGAAATTGAATGAGAAATTGAATGGAAAATTACTAATAATACATTTATACTTTGAACTGTCTCCTCATTTTCATCTGTTTCTAGTTCTAGTGTTTGATGATCATCATTATAAAGATGTGTGTTTATGCTTACTCTTGTTAACAAGGTCTGCTTGCAATTTTTCATTTTCTGCCATAATTGTATCAATTTCTTTTTGCTGCTCTTCTTTGTCTGCTCCAGTCTTCTCCACTTCTTTCCCTTTAATAATAAAGCACTTATCATTGTTGCTCATGCATAATGACATGCATCTATAATGATACATGCTTATGCATAGTAGCATCATGACAAATTTTAATAATTAACATAGTCATATTTACTTTCTTTCTCAGATTGGAATAAAGCAAGCTGCTCTTCTAGTAACTTGTTAATTTCTTTCAGTTTCTCATTCTCCTATTATTATCATAACAATGAAATAGTTCAAATTTCTCACTAACTTCTTCATGTTCTGTTAAATGCAATACTTTCTCTTGTAGTAACAGTTTTGTCTCAGCTAATAATAATCAATTACCGGTATATAACTTTCAAAAAAT